GGGGGGGGGGTAGCACCGCGACCTCTCAGGGAAAGAGCTAGGGTTTCACCTTTTCATCCCACTTCGCCGATACCATAGAAACAACCCATTTGTATTCAGTTCAACAGAGGCAATTACAATGTCCCAGCGAAGCACCACGGACAAGAAGAAACTTTATCCTGAAAGCAGTCCTGGACTCTCAGAAGGAGAGGAAAAGCCACCAGAACAGTCGCTTGAATTTCTTCCTGGCAGGGTACCAGGAAGAAATCGGTTTGAAAAAAGACATAAAGGACCTTTCGGCTCCATAGAAAGAAACCTCCCCAAATTTACCTTTTTTTTTTTTTTTTTTTAACATACCCACACAAATCCCCTATTTATTAGAAACTAAACAGATAATCCTACCCCCAAATTGTTTTTTGCTTTCTAGACATGACCTTTTTGGAGATTTGTTTTGCTTGTAATCTCCATGGTAAATAGGAGGGCCAAAAAAACAAGAACAAAAAAAAGGAAAGAGGGAAAGATACCAAGATAACCCCTCACATAACTAGGTGTCTTTCTCATATCTGAAAAACCAACCACAAATGCACATGTTGAAATACACTCAGACATAAAGTTCATAGCAAGAGCACTTGTTTGCTATGCATTCTTTATTTTCAGTTTAGTGCCCATGATTTTGTGAACTTTAAAATTTTTTAATTATGTAATATTTCAAACCTACCACAAACAAGGCAAACACTCATATAATATACTCTTGCTCCCCTCATCCCTTCTTTTTTAAATAAAATATCAAAAGATACAACTAAAAGCACTTCCCCCTCTCTTCTTCCCCAGCAGCAACCAATCCGAAGCTGGTGTCAGTAAGAAGAGTGTGAACCATACTAAAGCTTGGTCTTTGGTGTTGAGGACATCATATATGTCTGTAAACCTTTAAATGTAACTTTTCTCTCTGAGTCTTCTTTTTATACCATTAAGCAGAGAAAAATTAACTAAAACGAAGAAAATGTTGTTACACTGATAAGTTTTTGGAAGCAGGACAGAACTATTTTCCCCCGCTGTGACAATCAGAGAAAATAATAGCAAAGGGATTAGGCAGTGGTGAGTACACAGCCTCTCTAGGTTCCACCAGCCTTTCCATGGTTACCAAAAAGTCAGTAGAAAAACAAAACAGATAATACCCCTTTACCTAACTGGTTACAGGGCAATTGGAGAAAATGGGATCTGGGCTTCCACTTCTTTGAGCTATATGTCCGACACGGTAGTAAAGCACCTTTTTTGCATGGTCTCTCGGTCATGTAAACCATAATATTTTAGTAAGGATTTTCCAAGTGTAAAGGACTCCTGCTAGTAGCTCAATGCAGGTTGAAATCAGCCCTGCTGAAAAGTCTGGGGTTGAACCCTCCCTGCTTCCCCATAAAGAGGACCTACATCCGTGCAGCGAGTTCCATAGAGCCCCTTACAGCCATCCTTTGACTTAACCTCCTTCCAGCAATAAAAGGGCTGTGAAAGCACCAATTTTTCTTACATCCCATTGACTGGTGAAAGACATCCTTCCCAACCCCCACTCGCCTCTCAGCTTCCAGAGCGATGGCTCTCATTAATTACACTGGCGCAGCACTGCCCGGCCTTGCCTCTAAATAGCTGCCAGATTCCTACCTATCACCTCTGCCTTGACACAGAATGTGCACTGACACCAGGATCACAGACAATCCTGTAAAAGCTGCCTGATCCACGGTAAGATGATTGATGTACCTTGTGGCTGGCCCGCTGTGCTGCATAGCGTAAGGGGTTTGTTAGAAAACTCCATTGGGAATCCTTGTTGGAAGCAGATTTTCCTAGCTGTACAAAAAATGGTGTTTTCGATTGCAAAAATAGCCATATTTAAGATTCTCAAATTTAACCAGCAATAATCTTTGTTATATCCATGAAGCGAGAGAGTGAAGGAGATGGATATTATCCCTATTTCGATCAAGGCATCAAGAAGTCAAGAGAGTGATCAAAGAGTTTAGTGATTATCAAAGACGAGTTATCCCTCTTTCAGCACATATTTGTTGAGTACTCGCCACATACCAGGCACTGCCCTAGATTATAAGTATTAGCTGGAATATAGATAGTACTGAAGTACAAAGCAGTCGCTGTCCTTAAGGCCTCCCTCCCATCTATATTGGTCAAGATTTTTGGAATCAAATATGTGTGGCCAGTCCCTGACTACACGCCCACCCCTGTAGCCAGCGAGGTGGAATAGTATGAGCGGCGACCCCATCAAAACTCCTAGAAAATAACACAGGACAGGTTTGTTCCCCGTGGGAGGGTGGGAAGGGATTCTGGCAGATAAAAAGAGCTGGTGTGCCCTGCAGTACCCCCTCCCGAACGGACCACCTAAGAAAGACATAAACACCTTTGTACAGATTCATATGTATATGACAGATTTTTTTTTCTTTAAGAAGAGAAACTTCCTGAGTCCATCAGGAAGGACTGGGGGGTGGGGGTAGGGGTGGACCCTTGTAAGTACCATCTTTCTCTCCCCAGCTGGAGAGCTGTTTTGTTTTGTGTTTCGTGTTTTTCACGGAAATTCTCATACGTACACAAAAGTAGAATCATAATGAAGCACTATGTATTAGTCACCAGTTTCAAAAATTATTAACATTTTGGCAATCTTCTATGTGTTCAGGAATGTGGAGAATTCACTGAAATACTTCAGTTCATAAATTAACACATTGTTGCGGTACTATGATCTTGGTTATGGAGGAAATGGGGGCCTCCAGACTAAATTAAATAAGACTGCTACATGTGAAGCCTTCGTAAAGTGCCTAGTACAAACTGAGCTTTTCAAAATATCAATTATTTTTACTGTTATTGTCAACCTATTTAAAGCTTTTAAGTGCTAAAAAACAAAAACAAAAACAAAAAACAACCTCTACACACTGAAATGTATTTGGACTATAGAGGAAAAAACTTTAAGGCTAAACTTCTTACCAAAAGACAGTAACATTTTTGCATGATCCATTTTTAAATGTGCTATTCATATTTTTTTCTATAACAAGCCTACATAATTTCTTCTTTTATATGGCAATGTCAAACATTACAAGAAAATGAACTTTTTCCACCTTACAAATAAGGGGGAAATATAGGTTAAATTGTCAAGACCAGGAATGAGTTTGGACTAGGTATCAGAATTCTAAACTCTAGGTTCCCTACTTTAAAACCTTGGCAAAATAATTCATCCTGTGAATGCTGGACAAAGATAAAATAGCAGTGTTGTGCCTGCCTAGGTTTAAGTTCTTCAATTCAATCAAGGTTTTCTTATACCCCAGTTATGCTTCTCAAGAGATTTTCAGTTCCCAGCATAGAATGAATACTTTTTAAAAGGTGGAAAATATGCTAATTAAAGTGAAATTTTCTCACTTTCTATTTTTCTCCAACT